CTCCTGTTCTGCTCCAAGCACTGATTTCTGCGTTCTGCCGAATTCCGCACCAAATTGAAACAAAATGACAACAACAAAAACAACAGAAGAAGCAATTCGACGGAAATAACAAAAAAACAAAAAAAACAAAAAGGAAAAGAACCTCAAAGCGAAAAGAACTTGGCACAAAGTTGTAGAAATCAATCAAGCGTTGGACCCATAGCCATACTCTTACGCTACAGCACCCACTCACTAACCCACTAACCCACCCACCGTCTCTTACTCGCTCCCACATCCTGCTGGGTTACAAGGTGGCAATGGCCGCCTAAGGGTCGCCGCGGATTCGCTTTGAAGCGCGCCGCCTGCATCCTTCGGCGTTCTGCGGCCATTTTATGTGGCATTTGTCTTTTTGCTTTGCCTTCTTTTAGTCTGCTTTTCACTTCTTTTTTTATGTTGCCAATCATTTAGTATTTATGCGTGTGTGTGTGTGTGTGTGTGTGTGTGTGTGTGTGTGTGTGTGTGTGTGTGTGTTTGCTGCCAATCAGCGTTTTAGCCATTTCGGTCAGTCGGCATCAAAATCTCTGCCCTACCTTCCCTTACGGTGGGGCATTTTAGCTTAACTACTTGAGGTTCGTGCCGCGGCACTTTTCAATTCTGTGTCAAGACGTTCTCATCAACCAATTCGCTTACATTTCGCCAACTGTTGGTTCGTACCTTGGTTCGCCAAATAACGAAAACATGTGCTGAATGCAACATAATGGGCTTAACCGATTCCGGCTTAAGCGAATTTGTAAATTTGCGAAAAGCTTTCTTTAAACATTTAACTTTAATTTGTTTCGTTATATCAATAAAAATAACAATTCTTTTGGAATTTCCCTTTGTTCAAACCTAGTTTGCAGCCTTGCTTAGAACGTTTGTTTTTCTTAGCGTTATGTTTGGCTTAAGGCTCGAACCCGCCATTTAGGTTCGGTTCATGAGCCCATTGGTAACCAGCCTTGAGCCTAGGTCTTGGTTCAACCTTTGGGCTTTTCATATATTCTCAAAATTTTAATGACACAATCCAATTTTAACTCACCGATCTACCGAAGATATTACCAGCCTTAGATATTCACATATTGGGGCTTAAAATGGATCTTTTCCGAAAATTTGAAAGTTAAAACCTAAGTTATATGTATATGCATTGGGGCTAATGTGTAACTGTGCTCTTTATATTATATTCTAACAAACAGAATTTCAGGCTTTTTTCACTGGCAAAAGTCGACGATATTGTGAAATTCACTGCATGTGCTTTGTCTCTCATTTTCGGGCCCATTTCCCAGCCGCTGTGGGGCTTTTTCATTTTGATTTGGTTTTTGGTTTGTTTTCATTACGCATACGCCGCGTCGTACGAGGCATTGATGAATTGTTGCCACTGCCGCCTGCCTCCTGCCTCCTGCGTGCAGTCACATCAACCATTCCTTTTCTTGGCTTGTTATTTTTCTTGCCTGATGGCTGGTTGTCGCTGTTGCTATTGGTGTTGCCTACATGGCGCCACCGTCTCCAGCAACAACACACCATGGCGATGGCGGGGCGATGGCGATGGCGACGGCGACGACGTGTCCAGACGTGACCAGACACGCGCTCGTATTTGGCCGCATGTGTGCGACTTTTGCTCCTGCTACACCTATAGCCCCAGTCGCTTCTCCCAGTTGATTTGCTGCGGGCTAGGGCTAGGGCTTTGCCTATTTTATGATTTATTGTATGTTTTTTTTGCCCAGCTACCCCAACTAACATAGACATCACAGAGCTTATTACACTGACCTTTACACACACACACACGCACGAATCTCAAGTTTAAAACAAATAGATGCGAAACCAAAAAGTTGCCATGTCGATACTTTGAAGCTTAAGAGTTTTCCAAGTTGTCTGTGCAAGACACAGCAAATGGGAGTTGTTTACAATGAAGTGAGAGCTTTTCGGTGGAGCGAGAACCAGAGACTAAAGTGTCCAGCTCATTGAGTAAAGCACACTTAAGCCGTCTTATACTTGTCTTTATTAATTTTTCATTTTCTTTTACAACGCAGAGAGAGAAAAAACGCTGCTAAGACAAACTCTTTTGAAGTGCATTCGTAAATGAAACAGTCGTACAGCTTGAGTCAAGCATAATTTCTACTTAAGTATATATATATATATATGATATATATGTTCTAAATGTTGATGAATTCTGGCGTCAAAAAAAATCAAAGATGATTTAAACCTTAAATGAATTTAACCTAGTATATAAAGTCGTGTTGGTAGAAGAAAGAGAAAAGTTTGAGAGAATTGGCACGTTTCCATTTTGATTTATCTCAAAACCAGATTTAAGACGTTGCGTATTTAGCAAGTCAATGCTTGAAATAAGAGTTTCACACTTAAAACCAGTAAAACTCCGAAAAGTTCTAAAGTTCTTGGTTATTTCTCGCAGTGCACGCATTTCCTCACGCTCCAGCCAAAGCTTAAGCTAGCTGACAGCTAGTTAAATTGCGCTTCGTTTTCGCAGTCTTTACTGTAATTGTAAAGCCCTCTGCTCAGTGCTGCCAGATGTGCTGCAGTCTGTCTTAAGGTAACCAGACCTCAGTTTAATCTACATGCTGCATTTTTAAGCAGTGTGGCAAGGATTGATAAATTATTACAGCCAAATATTATTTAGTAATTGATTCTCGGGTAATATTTAAGATTCAGATTCAAAATGGAGAGCGTGGAACTAGGAGTAAGTGCGGGCATATTACCGAGTCAACTAAATTAATAATTTAAGCACAGTCCATAAAGTGTTATGGTTGAATATCTTCAAAACTTTGTAAGCTCTCTTGATTTCATTAAAATCACATAAGGCCAAGGCAGATTTTCAGGAGTTGCGCAACTTAATTAAACTATAATTAACTTGAACTTTTAACGGATTCTAGTTACGAGCCGCAAAACGTTTTCTATGATGTCTTTTTACACTTTGTCCACACTGCGAACAAGTATATATTAGCATTAGTTTATTAGTTTTGAGCCATATGCGCCTTTAGGTTCGTGTTGCTTCCCGCAAGAACGCAACTTTTTCCACCCCTTCAAAGCTTAAGACAAGCAATTTATGTTTATATGTATTTATCACTCACATGTACTAGACAATTGCTGAGCTCCTCAATACCTCGAGTCACCTGATTTGTGGTTTTAGAGTCAAATATTGAAGGAGTCGGGCCAGCTATTACTGCTTTTGCCATTTTGCTTTTGGCATTGCTCTCTGAACCGCCTTAACTTTTGCCTCACCTGACATTAGATCGATTGAGTATCATGAATGTTAGTTTCTATTTCTTCCTCTGTCCGTTTGGCCTAGCCTGTGAGCTATTTTTTATTTATATACCGGATTTCGACTGATATATGAAGGTTTCCTCTAAAGTGATAGTTTTGTATTTTGCCCAAAATCGACCAGATGAGAAGATACCCTGCATCCAGCTGCAAGCCGCCTTTAAAAACATTTTAGCTTCCTTATAAACACACACTCGCTTAGCCCCACACTAGGAAAAACACGTTCTTGGATAACTTTCAGGCAATAAATACTGTGTTATTACCTTAGCCGAAGTTTATGGTATACCTCTAATCTGTGTATACTATAAACCAAGTTCATATTGTTAAAAATCATTATTTATCTATGTTATGAAGATGTAGATATACCAAGAATATACACATATTCGTTTTAGGTTCAGACAGGGTTTCTTCTGTCTGTTGCATACATTTGAACAAAACCATTATACCCTTCGTGCCCATTTCCACAATCTTTACAGGGTACATGGAAAACTACTCCAACGCTGCTGTCCAACACATCTTAAACTGTGTCCAACGCTTAGCTGGACATATTTTAGTCATTTTATTTTGGCCATGTGATAAGCATCTGTCGAAGCAACTTGTGCCTGTTATCATCGTCATCGTCATCATTATCGTTGTTCCTAACCTCTGCTTTGCCATCTATTGCCACATACTTCATGTCTATCTGTGTGTGTGTGTGTGTGTGTGTGTGTGTGTGTGTGTGTGTGTGTGTGTGTGTGTGTGTGTGTGTGTGTGTGCTTAGCAAAATCAACTGCCAGAAATACTTCGTTGTCCCGGCAGCAGCACTGTCGACGGTTCTGCCGAATACAGCAAGAGCTCTGCTCGTGCTGCGCTCCTGCCCGCCCCTTTGTTGTTTATTATTTATTTACAATATTTTCTTATTCAAAATGAAGCCGCAAGCCGCTTGGAATTATTGATGGCAAATATACAACATACACAAGACCTAGCAGTGCCCAGGCCGTGCCCGGCCAGGCCAGGTCAGGCCAAACCCTTTGCCCACTGTTGTTGCCTAGCTGCCGGACATTTCTTTTTCTACCTTTTATTTTTTTATTTTTTATTATTTTGTTTTCCCCCTCCAGTCCACTCGAGAGTTTTTCAAGTGCGGTCGCCAAAAAGTTCTTGACTCAATTTACAAAATTTGCTTGCTTTCTGTTTTTATTATTTTTTATTTTGTTCTTCTTCTCTCTTGTCTTGCTGGCAGTTAAAGATTATTAACTTTTAAATTATGTAGACGACAGGAGCCGACTGGACAAGCGGCAGCGCGACTGGTGTCAGGTTCATTAGCCAACATATACGGCCTGCGGAGCGGGCGGCTGAGAGGGGGGGTTGAGGTTTGGGGCTTTGGTAATGAAACAAGGGGCAGCCGCCGCAGTCCGCGGGCCACAGTTTGGCAGGCAGCGAGCAGTTTGAGAGCCACAGCGAAGCCTTTAGAAATTATTGTGAGCTTTTTCAATATTTATCGTGGCGCTGATGATTTATGTGCTTTGGGCTTGCCACACACACACACACACACTCACACACACACACATAATATATGATGCCGTTGCGGATGTGCTGTCTGCGAAGCAGCAAACAACGGACTATAATAAATAAACATTTACGAGCCATGTGGCATATTCTAACCTATGCTCTCTCTCTCTCTCTCTCTCTGTCTTTCTCTATTTAACTAACTTTCTCTGTTTTGTATTCTATAGGAATGAAAAATTCTATACGTGCTGCGATGAGCCCTATCTGGACATAACATTCAACATCACAATGAGACGCAAGACGCTCTTCTACACGGTCAACCTGATCATACCCTGCATGGGCATCAGTTTTTTAACCATATTGGTATTTTACCTGCCATCGGACAGCGGCGAGAAGGTGAGTTCATATGCGGCGCATTGCAATTTCATTTTGGGTAGCTTTTCTTTCAATTGTCAACATTCACAATGAACCACCAGCTGATGCATCTACATTTATTTTCCATTTTCCATTTCTTGTTGTTATTTTTTTGTGGATATTTTCTTTTATGGTCTTTCAACCAATTGCCATAATTTATTGCACACACACTTTTCACAGGACCCCCTTTCAATGTGCTTTTAATTAAAAACAAAAAAAATATATAAGCAAGTATCGCTCTAGCTGAAAGAAGTCGACTTGTAAATACCCTGCACCCGTAGCATGCAGTCGTACCTCTTAAAATGTAATTTCTTATTGTCCGACCGCCATGATCTGGGCTTAGAGATGGCATTCATATGTGAATATATGTTTATTATCATGAAAAATACGGCTAGCATATACCTCTTCAAATACATATTCTCATTCCGAGAAAGTGGTATCCAAATAGAAAATACGGGTCTTCAAGTCTCCATTGCTTTAGTAGGGTATTTAGGAAATCAAATTTTCAGAAAACAAATGAAATAAATACATAAGAAGAACTCAGTTGATTTAGTCTTTTAACAATTCATACAAACAGACTAAACCATTTTAATGGGTACAGGGTATAATAATTTCACGCTTAAATGAAAATGAAAATGAAAATGAAAATGCATTTCAACATGCTCTTTCTTTTTCACTATTTGCCGCCATTTAACTTTGAATTAATAAAATTACATGTTGAATTCAATTTAATGCGAACAGATATGCATACACTCAAACACACTCAAAAACACTTAAACACACACACACACACACACACACACACACCGACACAGATGAATTGTTAGCGTTAAAAAACGTGCGCTATTTGTGGTTTGTTCTGCACATTTCTCAGCGCGATTCTTTGTGCCGCCCGCTGTGGCAAAAAAAGAGGCCTAAAATGGACAGAAAAAAAAAATGTGAAAGTAAAAATAAAACGGCATAATGCATAAATATAAATATTAACATGCTGTGGGGACTTATGAATAAATTACGGCCAATTTTCAAAATAAATAAAACTCAAAAATAATTTGTATATGAGCGCGGTTTTTATGAAACTGTAACGTCGCCGTTGACGCTGACGTCGACGCTGACGTCGACGCTGGCAGCGAAGCTGCGCTTCAGCCGTCATGCATAATTTGTGTAATAAATATTGACAGTACATACCGTCTATTTGATGGAGCACGCCTATAGCCTTGTGACAGCCGGATAAAGCGATTCGCTAGAGAATCCGCAAATGCAAATTATACGAGTTAAATAATTACATAACCTGATAATTCTCCAATGGAATTGCAACTATTTAATGTAATGCGTAATTGCAAAAACCTCTCTTACCAGTCGCACAGCGAGTAATAAGTCTCGTTGTATTTTGTGAGAGTCTTGACTTAGCTGAAAAGTGGCGAGTAAATTATGATTCGCTGCTGCGGCAAAAACTATATTTTATAAGCATTTGTTTGTCAAGCAACAGAGTGCAATTTTCTACTCGCAGATGTCACAAGAGCGAGTATAATTAAATCGCTAATGCAGCAACAAAGAACTTACAAGAGCGTTTAAATTATTTATGTAAATTGACTTAATTGTCAATCGTGGCCGTATCCACAAACTACTTCATCTGACTCGCTGATGTAAAAACGGCGAGTGCATTTTAATCGCTAATACAGCAAAAGACGACTCGAGAAAACAATTGCGATGAAGAAAGTGCTCGTTGAAGAAAGTCGGGCGAGTAAGGCAAGACTCGAACATTTGTACTAAGAGATATAACGAAGCTGATCGATAAGCAATATTTTGTATATTCGAACGAGACAAGATAAGCGCTAAACAGTTCAAAATAAAAGAGAGAATTGGTTAAGTGAGCGACTGGGCCGAGGTCTGAGGCCTGAGGATAATATGGCTATGGCAACGGCATTTCAGTTTCGGTTGGCTCGAATAAACAATTCATTGGCTTTTTATTTAACGAGCCAGTCGAGCCGGCCGTGTTGTTCGTTCCTTTTATGGTCGCACGACAGACAGATAGATGGTCAAGTGGTCTGATGGACAGAGCACACACAGGGCCCGCACAAATATTTGCGCCTAAAAGCGGTCAACATATTGAACAGCGCATTCCCAGCAATGGGCAGCACACATCCCGGGATCAGTATGGTGGGCCATAGAATAGCCCGAATTAAGTTTGGAATAACTATCGCAGCTTTTGCACGTAGCGGGCCAATCGGAGTCGAAATCGGATTCAGAATTCGAATTGGAATTGCAATTGGCAATTTACATGCATATGCGGCGCAACGCACTCCATTCATTCAATTGCCGGAGCTGTGTTCGTGTCCAATACTAAGTAGCTGGACACTGGGTAGCCACTCTGGTCGTTACACTTTCAGCGCCCACTGTGCTTTTATTTATTTATTTTTTTTTACTTTTGTGGAAACAATCACATTTTATACTACATATGTGGGTCAGCCTCTGAAGCCCGGCTGAATGCGACACAGGCGCGAAAATGTAGTGCACATTAATTACACACACACGCACACAAATGCACAAACACATTTGCATAAATAATGTCGCACCCCCTTGCCCTACCCTCGCACACTTTCTCTCTACGCGAATGCCCCATTAAGCCACGTGATTTCAGGTTGAGAACTTTGTACATGTCGCTTGTCAAAAGCGACTTGCAGCCTTAATTAGTCAGCGCTCTAATCGCTTTACAGCACTTTGCCTAACTAAGGCTAATTATCATAAAATCATTAGGCATCAAATTTATGCACACACACACACGCACACACACACACACACGTTCTCAAACACACTCACGCCCACAATGGCAGACATTTGAGTTTTTGTGCAGCAGCAGAATAACCCAAATTGTCCGTCTCAGATTCGACATTTAATTACTTTTTCAACACACTTCATTACAAGCAGCTTTCACACACACACACACACACACACATATACACACAGGTGGAAGAGTATGCAGCCACCTGAGCCACCTGGGCCACCTGTCCTGACCCGCAGCTCTCTCGCTCACTCGCTCTCTCTTTCTCACTCCGTCTCGCTGTCCTACACTTACACAACAAATCATATTGGGTTTGCTTTATTGAGCTAGCTGCGAAGTATGCTATGGTTTTTATGTGCTCGACGCCGCAATATATGCTGCGAATATTGAAGCCTGCCAGGCACCATGGTGCAAACTATGGCTTTTTCGGGCAAAAATGAAACATTATTCTTATACCCTTTCAGACAGCTTTGCAGCAGCTTCTACAAACTCCACTCACCAGAGGTCTGAAACAAATCCGAATTGCTGATCCACCTAAGAGACAAAATAATATAAACGCAATAACTAAACCTAAGTTAATCTACTCCACTTTCTCTTAATCCTTAGCATCTTGGTCTCGTCGTTAAATACGTAACATAAGTAACAACCAGTTCCGTCTAACCGTCTGTCTATGCGGCACAGATAACAGATTTTTACCTGAGCTCTGCTTAACAGCTGTTATCTAGACATATGTTATATTAACAGTTGTTGCCTTGGCTTACATTTTCGCATTATCTAGATATATGTTATATTAACAGCTGCTATATTAACAGAAGAAAAGTTAATTCATCCCACAGTGGATGCCTGGCCGGAGGGTAGGCAGAGGCGGAGGCGGAGGCGGAGACGGCAGCTTAGTCACTCAGCTTTCTATATGTTAATTTAAATTTCTTGTAGTTGTTGTTGTTTGTGTTGTCGTTGTTGACTCTTCTTCTTCACCAACTCCATCTTCTGTTTGTTTATGCATATACCACACACTCACACACACACACAAATCAATTGAAATTTGCTTTGACTTTCTATAGATATATATGTATATATATATATTAATAACTCGAGTATAAAATTCCCAAAAATACAAATATGCTCGCAAATGAATCGAAATTAATTTTGTTGCTGCGCAAATAAAGTAACCATGGGAATGCATACAAAAGAGAATAAAATCAAATTGTGTTTACATGCTGCTTAACTGAATGCTTTTTGAATTAGCTGAATAAATTCAGATAATTTTGTTGCTGTTGCTGCTGTTGCTGCTGTTACGGCTGCTATTGTTGTTGTCGAGGCCACAGCTGAATAAACTCTTAAAATACGCAAAAGTAATCATTTCTGTCATTGAATAAAAGCCAACCATACGCAGTCCCCATGCTATGTGAGGTCTCCTTTTGAATACAATATGCCTGACCCCACCCTCAAGCCCAAAGCCATAGCCGAGATAGTAATGGAAGCTCCATTGTTGGACTTCAAATGAAAATGCCTTTGGCAAAACTCTAAATGGCATTGGAAGAACATACTTCAACAAGTCGCAGCTCGTTCTCAACAGAATTATGTTGATCAAATTTATTTTTAATAATTATATACGAAAAATCCGATTTCAAATAATTCACTTTTATTAAATCCTGACTAACTGAGTCGTGTTTAAGCCCAATGCGTAGGAACTGTAAAGGTTAGGCTTTTATTTAAGTTCATTTATGTGCACGCTCCGCCGGAATAGTCGGCTTTGGAATATTCCACCCGCAGCTGTGGAATATTAGTGGAAAACAATTCAAAGAAACTTCTTTATTTATTATCCGATCGACTCACGCTGATAAAAGTTGCTAAAAGTAAAAAGTAACAGAAAATTAGCAAAAATAAAAGTAACTTAAAACCAAAAAAAAAAAAAAAAAAAAAAAAAAAAATCATCCGATCGGGCTCAGACTTATTTTCAAGCAACTTGATGGAAATTAGTTAGAGAGATTAGAGATTAGAGATTAGACTACAAGTTAACCCAAATTAATATATATGGTATTTAGCCAATCCTTTAAGAGAATAAATGTCTTTAAGGGGTATCCTAAAGTTAAGCAAACTCATGTCAACATAATTATATTAATACATTCATGCAACTAATGCACATACATAAACCTTATCAGCAACATTTTGATTGCGAGCACTTTGCGATTGTCGTTCCTTAATGGCGGCAAGGGCTGGCTCCAAGCCCTCAACGCGGCGCCAACTCGCTTTTCCGCTCACCTGCAACTCAATTTCCCAAATCCCTTGCGCTGTTCCGTCGACCGTCTAAAATCTGCAAATGAACTTGACTAGAACATCGCCTGACTTTCTGCGCCCATCACTCTCTCTCTCTCTCTCTCTCTCTCTCTCTCTCTCTCTCTAGCTCACACTCTGATTCTCTCCTTCTAAGTGTTGCCCATCTCTATCTGTTGCAGGTCTCATTAAGCATATCCATTCTGCTGTCGCTCACTGTGTTCTTCCTGCTGCTGGCGGAAATCATTCCGCCCACGTCGCTGGTGGTGCCGCTGCTCGGAAAATTTGTGCTCTTCACCATGATACTGGATACGTTCAGGTGAGTGAGTGTGACTATGAATGTGAATGCCAAACGAATATAAATACGATTGCGAATGCGAATGCGAATGCCAAAGCACGTTCGATTTGCATGCCAGCTGATAACGTTTAACTGTACCCTGGGGTGGGCGTGGCTGTTCACCTGCCTGTCTGCCTATCGCCTGGTTGTCCCTTGTTTATGTGACAGCCGCCGCGGCGGAAGCGGATGCAAAAAATAAAATTGCACGATCTTGGATTCTTTCATTTGGGGTATACACCCATACCCATTACAAATAAATAGACGGGGTATACTGAAGCCCCATTCACATATAGTACATGCAAGGGCCAAAAGTCGAGTCGAGTCACATTTTGCTTTCGAATTGTCTCACCTTTATGCCTTAATCATGCTATATCGAGGGTGCGACGATATTTATGGAAAACATTCTTTAATGCTCACAATTTCCACTTAGAGTTCCTTGTGTTTGATAACTAGGATATCTGCTTGTCGGTCAAATACAAGATTTTTCATCTATTTTTTTTAACCTGAGCTTATTCGTTTGGCCAGTTGCCCACATGCCACGCCCCAGTCGACTTGACTTGACTTGACTTGAGTTAACCCCGCCTCGGCTCGACTCGGCCGCAAGTCAAACTTCAAAAATGGCCCCGCAATTTACAGCCATTTGCCACGCCCACAGTTGCCGCACAAATGGCCGCCTAATTGTTTGTAAACAAAAGTCGAGGCTGACGGCCTGAGCTGTCCGGAGCTCACACGGAGCGCGTTCCTTGGCTGGCTGTGGCTGTGGCTGAGTCTCAGGTCGAGTCGAGAGGAGTCGAGCAGAATGGCCATGCCGTTTGGCGCAACAGGACTCGGACTTGGACCACAAATGATGTAATTAAGGCAATGGCCACAACAGCAGGCTCTGCCTCTGCCTCTGCCTGTGCCTGTGTCCGGGCTGGCAGCTAATTAGACAGACGCGGGCGTCACAAGTTAATTAGCCGGACTAAAAGACTAGACTACGCCCACACCCTATACACACACGCACACGCACACACACATACTAACTAGCGCCACGTTTGTCTCCTTTGCAGCATCTGCGTGACGGTCCTGGTGCTGAACATCCATTTCCGGTCGCCGCAGACGCACACGATGGCGCCCTGGGTGCGCACGGTGTTCATCAATCAGCTGCCGCGCTTTTTGGTGATGCGCCGACCGCTTTATCCGATCAGCGAAATGATGTATGTGCTTTTGAAAATATATATACATATATATCTATGTTGCATAACTTAATCAATCACATTAATTAACTTTGGCCATTTCCATTTGTCGCCCGCAGCAAGTCCTCGCGCCGGCTCATGGTGCGCACCTGTAATGGACTCGAGCTGAGGGATCAAATACCACCGCTGCCACCGCCCGTGGCACTGTCCCGGTAAGTGTGTCCGGCTTGTGCGGCCTGATTGTATGCAACTAACGTTTGATTTGCGGCACTTGCAGCATGCACCACAGCCCCAAGACAACGTCGCGCAGCACCTCGCCGCATCTGCAGCACAGAGTGCAGGCTCTCAGCTTGATGGACGAACTGGGCGGCATAGGCGGCGGCTGCGGAGCATCGACGATCACTGGACATCTGAGCTCGCTGTATCCGCCAACGATGTCGACGGTGAACCAGCAGACCTCGACCACATCCTCGCTAATCGATGCGCAGTACCACAATCAGTACCAGCAGACGGGCGGCTCTTTGCTGGACCATCCGCTGACGCCGACCAAGTTCCGTCAGATGACCTCCACCTCGAGCCAGACGGGCCAGAATGGAGCCGGTCATCATCATTACATTGCCGGCGGCGGCGGCGGCGGCGGTGGCTGTGCGGCTGGTGGTGGGGCTGGCAAAAGCAGCTCCACCTCAACGCTGACGCATCAAGCCAGCCAGGCTGGGAGCTATCATCTGTATCGCCAGCAGTCGAGCTGCTCGGCCAACTTCTCGCCATTGCCGCTGCATGCGCATCAGGCGCACGCTTCGACGAACACCAGCGACCTGGGCCTGGGCGGTAACCACAATCCCAATGTGATAAAGTCCACAACGACGGTCAACTCGGTGGCGACCGCCTCGACGCTGGCCGATTCCTGCTGCAGCGGCACCATACAGATACACCAGGGCATGGGCGCCGGCGCCGCCTGCCAATCCTCGGAGCTGCTGCATCTGCACCGACCCACCACATCTGCCGCGGCTGCGGCGGCGGCGGCGGCGGCAGCGGCAGCAGCAGCGTCGGCATCGGCATCAGGTGCCAGCACCTCAGCAGCTGCTGCTGCGGCTGCGGCGGCGGCAGCTGCGGGGGGTATCACGCCGCCCCCACCACCACCGCCGGCCTGTGATATACTGCCCGCCTGCCAGCGCGAGGGCGGCCCCCATTGCTGTACGGGGCGGGGCAATGTGCGCCAGCGCTGGCACACCTGCCCGGAGCTCCACAAAGCCATGGACGGCGTCACGTACATTGCGGATCAGACGCGCAAAGAGGAGGAGAGCACACGGGTGAGTTGCGAAGCCGTAGAAGCTGAAGCTCAAGCTGAAGCTCAAGCTGAATGTCTGGCAGACGCCAAATTAGGCTAAGCGATGTCGCCAGGCAAAGCCGAAAGCCGCTTAGCATTTGGCGGGGCTTAGCCTAAGTGCCAGGCAACTGTCATGGCATAGGGCGGATCGGAGATTAGGGATTGGGCTATGGGCCTACAAAATTGGGCGCACAATGTTAATAGGGCAACGCGCTGGCGGGCGCAATAAATTAGAGAGGCCTTAGCTTGGATTTATTGGAACGTCAATAATCGATGGGCGGCGACTCGATGACACCTAGCCAGGACAATGGCGGTAACAAATGAGCACAACTACCAGCTACCGCTTCCAGATGATAATGATAATGATAACGATAATGATAATGATGTTGCCGATAATATGGTCCAGACTAGAGACAGGCTTGCCCTTTGGTTGACCTTTCATCATGCATGTCCCGTGGTGGTCTTTCGTTTCCTGTCTGCGAGAACGGAGCATCGAAAAGTTTTAATGACTTTTCACGCCCGGCAGGTCCTTTGAGCCCTTGTGCAGTCCTTGCAAGTAGTTTGCCACGGCATAATGAATGTCTTGTGGCGGCACAAATGCCAATAAAAGTATTTTATTAAAATTACGCACACATTCAATCATTATTGGAATGTCATGCTGGGCTTAAGCCCTGCCACAGCACACAACACAACACAGCATACACATAGCGCACAGGACACGCAGGACATAGCACGACAAGCGGCAAGTATCGAGTTATGCGGGAAAAACATCAGACAGAGCACACATAATAGAACAGTTGGCTCTGCCAAAGTGAGCGCCGGCATTTAACACACATTCGGGCAGATGCTGGGGGCACGGAAACGGAAGGTGAATCCATAAAGTCATCTGAATGGTCGTGAGTCCTGACAGCGTGTCAATCATGCCTCGCTTATAAATAGGCCAAAAAGAACTCGTGACAATTCAAATGTTTCGAATGTCTTGCTGCACACACTGAGCTGCTCACATGGCATTCAATGATATGACTCAATTAACAGCAAGTACTGTGAATCATTTGCAAGTTGATTCTCGCATTCAATCAGATAATCCCTTATGATGTAAATGATTTGATTTAATATTATATTTAGTTTATTGAATTATTATTATTGTTTTTTATTTGCTGCAATCAGAATATTATGTCTTAAGTCAATGTATATGCTTTGAATGATTTGTTAACGAATTGATTCATTCATTCAATTCATTTATTCAGTTTCAGTTCATTGCATTTGTTTTGTCTTTCAAAACATTTTAAATGTCATTCACACATTTATTCAATCATATGTTCAATATAATTTTTTCATTTCTCATATCATCAATCTATTGTTTTAACATACTGTGAATCAAATTGAATAACTCAGACAGCATTCATTTAAAGTTGTATTTTAATAACAATTCAATATAGCATTAACTCACTTATTTAATCAGACTGTCTGAATGCTCGTTGATTTTGTATCCAATTAGACGCCTCATGTCAATGAATATAATGCGAATGACTTAATGCGCATGGACATTGATAAATTAGTATTCACTTTTATTTATAACGTTGCCTTTAACAGTATAAAGAATATCTATAATTATGCTAACCGAATGAGCATAATTTAATTCTCATTCAATGTGAAGTTTTATACAAACGCAATGATTCGAATGATTCGTTTTGACAAGAGCTATTCATAAAGGCATCAAGCGATTCTTTCGCTTTTGATTCATCTCCCAGTAATCCATAGCCCCACATTGATTCGAATTCTAATTCTTGGATTATCGACTGATCTTAGCAAATAATTCATTCAATCTTTTTGATATGGATTTTAAGCTTATCATTTTATTTGATTCATCATATGTAACACATATACATAACATATACTGTTTTTCTGCCAACAGGTCAAAGAGGACTGGAAGTATGTTGCCATGGTACTGGATCGACTCTTCCTCTGGATATTCACAATAGCTGTGGTCGTGGGCACGGCCGGCATTATCCTGCAGGCGCCCACGCTCTACGACACTCGCGTACCCATTGACATCAAGCTGTCGGAGATTGCCTCTACGACGGCCAAGCCGAATGTGGCGAGGCCTGTGTTGTAAATCCCATAAGGATGACACCGGCATCAACAACAGCACACACACACACACACACACACGCACACACACACACACACTCAGTGACACGCCCACGTAGATATGTATGTGCCCACACACAGACAGTCTGAAAAAGAACATGAGAATTTCGCTTTTAATTTATTTTTCGTATCGTGACAACAGGCAGCAACCGCGACAGCAACAACAACAACAACAACAACAAACAGAGAAACAAAGAAAAGGAAGAAGAAGAAGATGAAGAAGAAAATCCAAGTAACTATAACTATAACACAGCTGTATAGCGAAATAAAAGTATTTGTTATATACTTACATATGTATTCATAAGGTAAAGGAATGATAATGAACGAACCCTAACTAATTATAGCTAAAATTGTACACTAATGTTTAACGAATACAACAACAACAACAACAGCAACAACAACAACAACAAAAGAATTAAGCACAAAACAATTAATGAATTAAGAACGAGAGAAACAAGTTAGAGAAATTTGACGACAGGCTATTCCGGAAATGTACCAAATATGCGATTTGGTTGTCTCGTATTTAATTATTTCATGATCGTCGGCTATGACCCAATTTTGAATTTGCAACGGCCAGTTAAAGTTTCGAATGAACTGGAACTTGTTCTGCTTGCAATTGTAATTGTATTAGTGTGGCTGGCGTTGCCAGACCTATATGCATATACAGCTCGAGAGCAAGGTCAGAAGACATATCCATAGTTTCGCAATCATTCCCGCATAGATATATACTATATTTGATTTGCAAACAGAAATTGTTCAGGTAAACATTCAGCTGATCAACTGATCGACAGCTAGTTCACAGACGGAACTATCGATTCTAACTCGTCCCTTCTAATTAACATTTCGATAACTGTTAGCCGATAATCGATAGCCTGACAACTGAATTATAACAGTCCGTAATTTGTGGAACAGCAATTGAAATTTAGCAAATACACGAAACTTTAGTCAAAATGTTACATAGTTAGCTAAACTAAGCCAGAATCATAATTATAATTATTGTTGTAGTTCATTTCTTTTTTTTCCTATGAATTTGACACGAATAGGTCAAGCTAGGAGGAGAGAGACAGAGGAAGATAGAGTGAGAATGGGAGGGGGGGGTGTATGAGCTTTCAAGCTGCAAATGATGCATGCAAATTAGTGCAAATAAACAGCGTACGCGCCTTGCGGCAATTGGTTAGCACAAAGCTTCAGTTATTATGCCCAAGTGTGCGTGTTTCAAGTGTTTCAGCGTGTGTGTGCGTTTGCAAGCTTATGCATGTGCGTGTGCGTGTGCGTGTGTGTGTGTGCACAGTAAATAATCGGCATTTGGAATTGAAATTCAATTTTAGTTCGTCAGATGCGCGCGCGTGCAACGAGCCTAATTGGCCACAGCCAGCAAGATGGCCACAGATCAACAACAGGATGATCCGTATGTTGTTTGGCATATGCCCTTGCAGAGAGGGTATTACGATTGCCTTGCTAAATGGCAAATAAAACCCAAAAACAACATACATATAACCGAACAATAAGCATGGAACATTTGACAAGTTATTATTCCGTTATATCATATACTCGCACACGCACACACAGACACACACACACATAGTTAAGGTGCAGCAATTTGTTGTGTTTTAAATGAACCCGGGTATTTAATGTTCGGCACGTCGAATATAACTTTTTTTCTCTTGGTATGTTCATCTTTTTAATGCACTCGCGCCTCTCATAATTTATGCAAATTTGCAATTGTGCTGCAATTTATGCGCACAATTTACAGCGGCTACCTGCCCGAGCGGGTCACGTGCCAACAGCCACATAAGCAACAACAACAGCAGCAGCAACAACAGCAACAAAAGCAACGACAATTTTGACAAGAACGACACAAAAAGAAAAAAAGAGTATTTACCGTTCAGGCGCCAAAAAGTTGCCTTGTCTCTGGGCGTGCAGTTAGTTGGCCTGGTTTTGTTTTTGGTTTATTTCATTGCTTCATTTTGTTTATCTGCATTTCCGTGGGCAATCAACATCAAATAATGTTGATTAAGGCAGCGGCAAATAAAAATGTTTTTCGAAATGCAAAGCGCTTGAGAAACGTTTAAATCCAAAATTAAACGGTCATGTTAAGCTTAACATTGGCTAGGGAAATTTTAACAGCGCCACAAAAATGCCCAAAATGAACACTGAGCACAGCTAACAGAATACTGTTAACTGCTGTACGCGCCTGTAAACAGGCAGCGCAAGCGTCGTCTATAACAGTGCTCTGCAAAGCAAACAGCGATCCGCTTACGATCCTTTAACTGGGCAGTCTAATCTGTGCAGTGTAGCGTGTATTCTTAAGTGTAAACGATTACACACTTAAATTATTATGTTAAAGCACATTTATTTTAACTGAATAGATAATGAATGCGGTCAGTGCGGTATTTTAATATTTTGTTTGGGCTTATCGCAGAAGGCAAGTCAAATGCCGCTGTGGTATATTTGGGAATGGCTTTTTGTTTTTAATTATCTAATTAATATATACTTGTTGAGTTGATGTAGATCAATAGATTGCCCGCTAACTTAATTCTGGTCATACTGCAGCGTCATTCGCATTCCCTTAATTATCTGCATCTTCTTTCCGTTGCAGGCGACTTTTAGCGTTGTGCAACACTTGCCATTAAATGAAAGGCAGGCGAGCAAAAATTGTGCACATAATGAAAAGCCATTAACCAATAACAAATTGTTATTTTGTGCTGCTTATATATGAGGGGCGGGCACAGAAAAGGGGCTGCTATCAAAACAAAACAAAAAAAAAACGTAAATGTCGAAAGTTTTTAAAACACTTTTAATGACGGGGCCAAGCAGGCAACTCGCTGGGCGTTTATTGGTTGTTGTTTTTTTTTTCGTTTTGGTGTTTTGTTTTTTTTTTTTTTAGTTTTTGCCTATTTTTGCTTCTCTTTCTGTGAGCGCTTGTCGCCTGGACGGGCAGCTGGGCGACATTGAAGCCAACCGCAAATCATAATTGTTGCGGCAACAACAACAACAACAACAATGAGAAAGAGAAGTAGAAGCAGAAGCAGAGGAAGAGGAGAAGCATCAACAGTAACAATAATACCAGCTGTGGCCACACAAAAAGGACATTAGCCTGGCTATCGCCTGGACACTGTCTGACTGCGCCGCGCCCAGCTATTACACACGCACACACACCCTCCCCCACACACTCACTCACACACACAGACTCACACGCACACACACAGACAATTGCCTTATGTCTACTGTTGTTATTGTAATTCTCATTGTTTCATGCATTTTGCTGTTTGATGCCAGGGTCCTGGCTGGTCCTGTCTGGTCCTGGCTGCGCGCTGCGATGCGTATCAGCGAGTTTTGTTATAACTTTTGCCGCGCAGCTCCTAAAAGTACGTAACAGCATTTATCTATTGCCCTGAGACGCGCTACGCGATCCGCCCCGTCCCATCGCTCGCCTCAGTGTTTGAGCTTGGGCAATACAAAAGCAATCATAAAGTTAGAGCCTCCAATCCAACCCACCCCCACCCCCCCCCCCCCCATTCTCCACTACCCCTGGGGCGCCATTGCGAAAGAGCAGTCAGTCCGCGCGACTTGTTTAATGGGCCTATCTATTCCACCTAGCAAGGGAGCGGAAGAGGGGGGGGGGGGGGCGACTGGACACTGGCGCTCAATAGAAGCGACAAATTTATTGCTTGCTAATAGGAAAACAGCCCAAAAATGGACAAAGGACCAACTTTGGGCGTACGCCAAAGCGGAAGCAAACAGTTTTTCCACATTTCTCTTTTTGTTTTCTCTCATTTTTTGGGGACAGAAAAAATATGTTTTCAACATAATTTCATTTATTATACTCGAATCTTGCATTGTTGCGCGTGCCGCTCATTTTCAGCGGACTCATTATCACGCCACCCCCCCCCCCCCCCCCCCCCCCCCCACCATCCCACCCTCCCTCCCTTTCGAAAACTGCGCAGAACACCTCAGGCAACATTTTTGGCTAATTAGAATTTCATTTCATTTGAAATGTTTTCGCTCGTTTGTCCGTTTGTCCGTTTGTCCGTTTCATTTGCATTGATTTGATTCGCGACGAATGCGATTGATGTCTAGGTGTATTTGTATTTGAATATTGAATGGTTGATTGTGCGATTATTGTTTAAGTAATCAAATTAAAAGCCATAATTGAGACGAAATGTCGGTCGATAGAAACTGAACTTGTCAATGCGTAACATGTAACATATTCGGCTCTAGGCTAACGTGCAATTTCTCAGCACCTACAAATTATTATATGCGGTCTTTTAATCTAATATCTAAAACGCACACAATTCACAGACTATTAATAAATGAATTTTAACAGAATTATTTCAAAATCTGCTGTTCGTAGCTCTCAACTGCCTCTTACAATGATTGACAGCCAGAAAGCTGATCGCCATAAGATTGCGTGTGCATAGCAGCCAGCTCTTGAGAGCGCTGCTGTGCCGTCGTGATAGGTTCAACTTTTATAAACAGTGTTACCATATTGTTGCATGAATCATAGCCAGAGTACAGATTGAACTAAGCGAAAGGGGAAATGCTCAAAGTTAACAAAAGCTACTAGAATGTATAGACATTTGGTTTTATTTTAAATGTTGAGTGAATTTGACAAAAAACTAAACACTAAAGAAAATTACAAATTATTGTATACTGTTTTTTTTTTTTTTTGTATGTAACAACGCATTTCAAAAAGCACAGATTGTATGTTCGCTAAAAAAAAAACACAAAAAAAAAAACCAAAAAGGAAATTTGATTAGGCAATTTTTGGAAGTTTTTATGTGCGGAAAAATAGCAGCAAATTTCAAGTCCCTCTAAATTGGCGGCAATTTCAGCACATATAAATATCACTAGTCATTAAATAAAAACAAAAATTAATACATGAAAGCATGGGATAACACATTTATGTATATTACGAAGCCCCGAGCAGCATGTGAAAATATTGAAATATTTTTTACCACAGCTCGGTAATCGAGATGAAAGATAACAAAAAACCATTTAAACAAACACTGGGAAAATTTCATCATTTTATTGTGAAGGTTAGCAACTGAGCGCAAAGTTTTCGAATATTCGTGTTTAGGTACAGTCGCAACAAAAGAGTATATATATATATATGTATACATATGTATTATCAAGCGAAAAACAACAATTTATATATGCAACTACATATGCATATAAAGAGGGGGATATAACAAGTAAATATACATTATAACATATTATAATATATATATATATATATAAATATAAAAATAAAAAAAAACAACAACAAATAATGAGAACATTTTTTTTTAGAACGTACCTTTAATGCAAAATTTAAGCAAAACAAAAACAAAACAACAAGAACAAACAACTAACATTAATTTTAAACATAAATTTAATAGTAAAATTAAATTTAACATTAATGAAACGATAAGCGGTATACACAGCAACTTGTTAACAAAACTTTGAAAAATTGTTTAGAAAATACAAAAACTATGAAAAATAACAAAACACAATTGAAAAACCTAAAAAAAAACAAAAAACATACAAACACGAATTGAATTAATTTGTAAGCAATGAAAGAAGCCAAAAAAAAACAAAAATTTAACAAAAAGAATACCAAAAACAATTTAAATATACTTAAACAAAATCCAGAAAAGAAACTAAAAATTATACGATTTACAAAATCTAAAAGCTAATTGTAAAAATCCCAAAACTATTTTTTTTTGCTCAACATATGAACTTTTAAAAGGCTTTGGAACTAAAAGGGCATCCAAGTGCCGAGTTGTTTGCAAGACTTTTGCCCTGCACCACGAATACAACAACAACAACCACACATTGAGAATGCACAAACTTCCCCGAACCATCCCACCCCAAATCCAATAACGCCCCATGCCCCCGCAGCACCCCAGCACCACAGCACCCCAGCACCGCAGCACCCCATTTCATACACACAATCACAAATAATTTGTGGTACCCAAAAACGTAACTGAAAAACGTAAATTTGTTCGTAAAGCTGTTTGAGAATTTTCTAAAAATGCAAATTGGCATCACAAAACGTCTAAAATTAAACTAATGCAAAGAAAAAATGCCAAAAACAAAACAAATGAAAAAGTCAAAAAACAAAAAAAAAACAAGAAAAAAAATAAGAACTTAGCAACTAGTGAGAATTTTTAAAACAAAACAATGAGGTTTAAAAACAAAAACAACAACACGAAACAGAAACCGAAAAACAGAACTAAAAACATGATAAAGATAAACAAACAACAACTACTTATTTATAACAATTAATGGAAAAGTGAATGGAAACAAAGCAAAAACAAAAAGGCATAAAAGAAACAAAAAATTCAAATAGAAATTCTTTTCAAATATCAATAAAGCAAGAATATTAAAAAAAAAAAAAACAAAAAACAAAACAACAAACAACAACAATTAAGCGTGTTTCGAACTCTAGGGATATATATTCATAAAACTGAAAATATGTAATATTTTCACAAAAGCATAATTTTGTTTAACATTTTAAATTGCATTTTTTGGCCTGTTTCCTTTTTATCAATATTACAATTACAAGACATTGAAGATGCTTCCCAATATTTGTCGATTCATGGAATATATCCATCGAGATGCAGCAGTACAAGAGGTATTCTATGAGTATAAAATCAAAGGTTTTTAATTGATTAATTGCTTTATTTTTAATAGAACTACAAATATTTCGAAATTTCATAAGTCACAGCGAAAAAACAACGATTTGTTGAGCTAAGGCGATTTATATGCTACTGCTACGTTCATAAGTACATAAATAATTATTGCTTTAGAGTTCACTAGGTGTGAAATTTGAAAACTAACTAGGCGCTAGAGAGAGCGTGTGTGTGCGTGCGTGTGCGTGCGTGTGCGTGTGTATGTCAATGTGATGTTCATTGGTATGTTGGGTATGTGGTATGTATTCGTGTGTTTAAGACTTGGGAGGTAGTTGGAAGAAGAGGCGCAAAGAGCACCCTGCCTAGGGCTTTGTCTTTTATAAGCAGAAGAAATAAAGTTTTTTTTTTGGTTTTTTTTTTGCAGTCAATAGGCAATGCTGTCTTAATCCGCGTTGAGCTCCTCTCTGTCGTACTCCGGCTCGGCGCCGCGACCCTCGCGTATGCGCTTCAATTTGCGCTTCAGCATCATAACGCCTGCAGGACGAAGAACGAAAGATTGGTTAGAGATCGTGAATTAAACTTTTGGGAATTGAGGAGAGCTTACACTTGATGGCCTGATAGGTTTTGGCCGAGGCGGATTCGGTGGCTGGAAGAGGATTGGATGTTGCCTTCTCATGGGCCAGCTTCACCTCGATGTATGCCCTTTTGAGCGTCTTGTAATGTCGATACTCGCTGCTGTCCCTCATCAGGATGCATCTGCAAGGATCATATTAGCAAAGGGAGTGCCAACAAACTGAGTGCTCGCTCACTTTGCCGCAGAGCCCTCGCCGGAGCAATCAGAGGGCGAGGTATGATAGATCTGATGGTAGAAGAGCTGCAGCACCGGTGAATTCCATATGGCGAGGCCATACCACAGCCAAATGGCCACATTAAGCGGCAGCTTAAAGTTCTTGGCAAAAAGCGTGGGTATAAAGTAATTGAAGGGCAGCAGATTGATATGCACATGCAGCCAGGCGGCAACCCGCATACCCATAAACAGCTGGTAGACCCAGCGATTCCGATTCGAATTCTGCAGCGCCAGCAGGGTCAGGCACTCCGCAAGTATGCTGTGCAGCCCCATTGTGAGATTCAGGCCAACAAAATAGTTTTCATATCTGCAAGTAGACAAAATCATTCAATTACTCAATGCTTATGAATAGTTAGCTTATGCTCGCACATGCCTGTACACGTCGATCGCGATGAGGGCGAATAGGTAGAGCCACTTGGAGACGGTCTCCAAAAAGTCAGCCTCCTTGAAGTCGAGCATGGCGCCATGCAGATAGAAGGCAATGATGAATATCGAATAAAACTGAAACTTCTCATACTGATGCGATCGATAAAAGATGAGATTGTCCGAACTGTGGAAGAGCGAATAACGGCCCTGGTTCTTCATCAGCTGCGGCAATATCATAAACTCATTGTAGAAGTGCAAAAAGAGACAGCAGGCTCCATAGAATGCAATGTTCCATATCAAGCGAGCGAATTGTTTGCGCTTAAAATACTTGACGTTCGACGATTTAAGGAAGAACTAACGAGAAGACAAGCACAAATAAATGTCAATTAGCTGTTGATTGGGATACTTTCAAACATCTCTCTATACACATACATATGTATATATATTTATATAAAGACATGCTTATGCATATGTGTATGTGTATGTGTGCATGTTAGCGTACATCAGTTCGGCTTGAGTCTGGTTGCAAATATTGTTTAATCTTAATGGTTGTCGGTCGCGGCAGTTGGTCGCATGTCTTATCATAACGTCGCCAACGCTGCCGCCGCCGCTGCCCCTGCCTCTGCCGCAGCTGCTGCTGCTGCCCCATTACAGCTGCCTGCCGACTATTTATAAACGTCAAACAAATTGGGCACGCGCAGCAAACAGCAAGTGAACGCCGTGCTGTCGCTAACTGCAGCTGGTTAACTGTAGTTGGCTCACCTGGAAGACGCGCTGAAATCCGTGGAAGCCGCAGAATAACGCCACAAATATCCAGAAGACCGCATTGATCAGGTAATGCAAATCAATATTCTGTACAAGTGCATCGAAACGATCGTTGGTAATTAGATATTTAAGCGGTAAAAAGAAGTTGCCAATCTCCGCCCAATAATCCGGCGGACCGGCCTTCATATCCAGTATGGACATCTTTGATTTTTAGGCGGCCGCAGCGCTAATGGTTAGCGCAAGCAGGTACCACAAGCAAACCTCAAATATAATAAACGTTTGCCATGCAGCGATTTCGTTGTCAACCTGATGAATGGGGATGTATTTATAAACAGTAACAAATTTTGTAGTCTTATATTTACGTGCCTGGTACATTGACAATCGACATATCGATTGATTGCGATAGTGCCGATATCGTTGCATCGCTAGCTGAGCTTTGCTTTCGATAGTTTGTCGGGCTGCCAACTTGTGTGCAGCGCGGACTTATTCAAATTCATAAAAATACTTACCATCTCTTACTGTCTTAATATTTTGCAGTCGCATTTCAAACATGGCTCAATCTTCAGTTGCGCACATTGTCGATTATCCAGACGACCCTATCGAGCTGCTCAAGCAGCTATTAGAAGCCGCTGCCAAGCAACAGCCAGATTCGGTGCAATACATGAATCTGGCCACCATCGATGATGAGTTCGGTGTACTCAACCGTACTGTGCTCTATCGCGGACTCAGCAATGATAAATGCATCATCTACGTAACACAACGCTTTACGCGCAACTATAAGAATATCAATGCGAATACCAAGTGCGGCATTACCATTCTGTTGCCCCAAGTGGTGCTGCCTACGCCGGATACCAAGCCGCACACCTGGCAAGTGCGTCTCATTGGCGCCACCGCTGTGGAGCTGCCCGAGTCCGAGCTGGATGCGTTGTGGTCCAAAGAGCCGCTCTCGGCGCAAATACGTGACATCATCTTTCCCTGTGGACAGCCCGTGGACTATGATGAGCTCAAGGCTAAGCATGACCAGTTTCTCAAAGATCATCTAGCGCAGGCCCAGTCGCTGCAGCGTCCTTCTACCTTGTACGTTCGTGCCTAACATAAAAAGTGCATCGCATTAAACATTTGCCAAACCCTTCTTCCTCAACAGCACCGCCTTCAAGTTCGTGGCCCAGCGCTATGACTTTCTCAAGGTGGGCGTGGACCAGATTGCGGATCGTGTGCAGTATCGTCGCCAGGAGAATGGCCAATGGGAGGCCATGCATGTTTCGACCTAAATCCGGATTTTGCGTTACAACAATTGGCCCGTATTTTACTCATTTTTATTTTTATTCAACTAGCATTTGCAAAAGCAAAACAATCGTTATCAACAAATACAAACAAAATTACAGTTATACAGCAGCTAAATGTAACACTAATATGTCCTTTTTCACTTTTTGTTGGTTTTTTTTTTTTTTTGATTAGCATACAATTAAAATAGTTAATAAATATTACACAAAACAGTAAAAAAAAAAATAAAACAAGCAGTAGGCTCTAGTCGGTAGCTCCCGACTAGGGGATACCCTGAACCCTCCTCTGCCAGCATCAACGAGCTCATAATAAAAAAAAGTAGTTCGCTCGATAGGACTCGAACTCGCAACAACAAATCACGCCCATTGCCGCCGCCTCTACTCAACAGCCAAACCAAAAGCTATTCGGCTCCGGAAAAAACAGCAATTTAAATAGCAGCAAATACACACAGCTCATAAATGATACTGGATATATGTATATATACTCTCTCTCTCTCTCTCTCTCTCTTACAACTTTCGAGATTTGCTCAAACAAACAGAATTTCGATATCGATTTTTATCGATTACATGGAAACGGAGCAAATTATCGATTATCGGCAACAAACTCTAGCTCTTATAGATTCCGAGATTCTTGCGTTCGTACGGACAGACAGACGGACATGGCTAACTCGATGGGATATTTGCACAAATATATTACCCATTTGTAATGGGTTCAGGGTATACGAAATGGTTATAATAATACATAATAATATTAGGTTAAAACATGCAGTAAATTACGATTAAGGTTGCTTCTTCTAGCTTTTTACATAATACACGTTAGTTTTTACAGGAAGCCAGAGTAATAAATGTACCGCTGGCGGCTACAGGATACAGGCTACAGGCTATACCGCGTTCACCGTCTCCCGTATCCAATCCGCATTGGATGCAATCTTATCGTACATGCGTGGCCGCTCGACGCCCGTCGGTCCACAGGCAATCCGCCAGGATGAGACGCCAATTAGGGCCCATTGATTAGTGCCCGGTATGAGGCATTGCACGGGCGCGCCAGAGTATTCCTCTTGCTGCAAGTGTACAAAATATTTCACAATGTTAGAAATTAAGTAATTCGCGTTGGGAGCCGTTATAAATCGACACCCTGTTTATAGCGATTGTGACGTCACGTAACAAAAGCGACATGCAGCGACGCGCTCGCGAACAGTAACTGAGCAAAACAAAACAAAATAGATGAGTAACATCGTATCAACAACAACAACAACAACAACAAGGCGAAAGGCACTATCCCTCTCTCGCGCTCAGAGCATATGCCGCATAGCACGCGCGCTCTCACACGCATGCAAACGCACACAAATAGCAAATGCTAGAAACATCCCCGAATACGCACGACTCTACCTACTCTGCAGACAGAGCATAGACTATGTGCAGGCGCGCAGCTGCACTGCCAGATCGGCCAAAGGCCACTCAGGCCCTCGCTCTCTCTCTCTCTCCCATCCCTTTCCCACCTACTAATGTGCATAAAAGAAGACAGCGCGCGCCAACTTCCATTCATTCGAGCGTCGGCATTGCAAGTGAGCGCATCACGCACAAAGAACAAAGGCAAATTGAGAACCGGCAATAAAGAGAAAAAAACAACAGTAACAGTTATTCGAAACGCAAGCGTTATCATCGAATTTCAACATTTTGGATATGAAGAGCTGCCTAAAGATCAGTTTTCACGGCGAAGTAAGTTTCGTCATTTGCGAGGCGGGCAGCAGCTACGAGCAGATCATTGCCCAAGGTACATCATATACGAGCAGAATTCAAATTTGCAACAGCAACGGCAGCAACCTTTACTTATTCTTTTCCATGATCTTTACAGCCTGTGCTCGCTTCCACATACCGGAGACCCAGCGTGCCGGCCTGGTGCTAACCAATGGCCAGGGTTACGTGTTTGAGCAGCAGCTATTGGAGTACTTTCTGCTGCTCTTCCCCTGCCCCGAGTTGTTGTTTTATCTGCGTCTAGACTGGCAAAAATTGCGTCGTGCCCTGATCGAGCCCGTCAAGCGGCGACGCTCGGCAGATGACATCCGCCAGATTCAACCGGACCTTTCCGATGGAACGGACTATGTGGCGGTACCTGTGCATCGCCAGAACTGTTTCATAGGCGCATTGCCTGGCAGCGCTCCAGCTGCTGCTGCCGTGACTCGCCAGAATTGCTTCCTCCGCGGACAACTGCAGGAGCAGCAGCAGCAGCAGCAACAATCAGCGTCGGTTGTGTTGCACAGACTCAGGCAGGAGCAGGCACGGCCCGAGTCTCAGCCCAAACGGATGCGGCTTCAGCTGTACAAAAAATCACGAAGATCGCTTCCTAGCGCTGGCCCCCATGCGGCTCTGCTAGCAACTGCAACACGCTCAATACGCATCTGAGCGTAAGGAGCACCTAGTCTGTCCATAAACCAGGACGAAATTGTATATAGAACCTTTTTTTTGCGTCTAGCATTAAGGTTGAACCACAGTCCCTAGCAGATAAGCAAATAAAATAAACATCAATAAAAACTACGTTATAATCCGAAAAGTCAATAAGACGCGTATCAACTAAGATTCCCAAACTGATCAAAATATTATGGATATGTATATGTATGTGTTGGTAAATAATTCCGTATATATGTATGCATGCATGTACATGTCCATATACGTACATGTGTGTGTGCATGTGCATGCCTGTTTACGTATGCATTTTTATTCTTTTATGTACATATGTATGTCAAACGCGGATCAAATTAATTAATATTGAAGAAATTACGTACTTTTAAGGATTGCCTACTATGTGATTCTCAAGGATTCAAGTAAGGCCTGCATGCATATGTACATATGCATGTTACATGTACATATGCATGTGTGTATAAATGTGTGTGCGTCTGTTATACATATATTCACATATGTGCATGTCTTATAATGAATGTATGTATATGGGGATGTATATGTGTTTTCGGATACAAAACGTATTCAAATTTAAAATTAAATTTTAATATTGCCCTACTATGCGATTCTCATGAATTTAAATAGCATGTGTTGGTAACCTAATAGTTTATCCCTGCGCACGCTCTTACGTTAATTCCACTCTCTCTCTTTCGCTCTCTCCCTTTCTCTTTCTCTTACTCATTTCAATTTGTTTAAGATATCTTGAAATATCATTCAATATTTAATTTTCGACCGATCAGTATGATATAGTGATGTCGTAAACATGATTATGCGTATTTCCCAAAAATTGTCATTACTCACCGAGCAGTCGTATTTCTGGTAGGTTGCCTCCATGCACATGGAGTTGACCGTCGTTATGGAGATATTCTCGCAGGGCGCCATATCACCAATTTTAAGCTGCACGCGCTGCAGATGATCGCGCTGCCGGGACCAGCCGAGCGTGTTGCAGTTCGTCCAGATCTGTTCTGGTGTGCTGGGTGGCTTGGTGGTCTTGGCCGCCTGTGTAGAGGAGGATGCGCCATAGTAGTTGACTTGCGGGGCACTGTCGGGCAGCGGATAGGCGTTAAGCTGGGGGTGCTCCACGCCATCCGGTACCTGCTGCAGTGCCTCGGCACGCGGCATTTGGGATGCAGCAGACTCAGCCCTCAGGTAGTCGTAGCCAACACCGTCTTCATGGTCATCGGCGCTGGCACCTGAGCCCTCCTGTTGTTCGTGTTGTGAGGGTATAAGGAAGAACTGCTGAGTTTCCTGGGCCAGCCGGCGCTGGGTATGCTGGGCAGGCGGAGCTTCTAATCGCTCAGCGACTGGTACGTAGGCGCGCCGTTGTATGGGCGTTTGCTGCTGTTGGCGCTGCAGTGCGTCCGGCAGGCAAATGGGGCGCACGTGATCCGAGAAGCTGACCGGCGTCTCCAAGCGGACCAGTGCCGCTGTGGAGCCCTCAACAGGGCTTTTGATCATACCAATGATACGGCGTCGTTGTGTCCACGGCGCCTTCGCTGACAAACGAACTGCACCCACTATTGCCATCCAGGTGGCTCTTGGCTGGCCCTGGAAGCAGCCCTCTGTGGTCAGCACCCAGTCCGGTGATATAAGCGTTCCATCGCAGACGTGTATGTCCTCGCGGAACAGTGCCACCAGCCACGGCCAATCGCCCGGAGCTGACATCTTGGGCAGCGACAGATGCTGCTTGGCATTGGGCAGCGCCGACTGCACCCCGCAACGCAGATCGCCACAGCCTACGTAGAGCACCTGTCTCTTGGGGCAGTGGGTGCGTATGAAACTGATCTCCGGCGCATGCGGATCTAATACGCGCACATAGTCCGACAGTTGTTCCGTATCATTTTGTACATCAAAGATTTCCACAGATCTACAAAAGATATTTAGTTAGCGATTAAGTGGCGCTAGCTTAAATTCAAAAAATGATAGATCACAGTGTTGCCACCTTGCAAAACATTCAACCTTGCCATTCTGTTGATCAGTTGCTGGCGTTGCCACATGTGCACACAATTGTACGTTTTATGAATACGATGCCGTTACGAAATTCAAATTTGTGCAAGCAGGTTTTACATTTATAAGTATAAGTAATTTGTAGGCAGACGGATTATTGAATATGTTTCCATAAAAATAATGCATCTAAATCTTATATTAACCACCCCGCGTGAATGGATGCACTTACTCATAACCCAGCGATTTGCATAGGGATTCCGAGACGGTCTGGCGGACCACCAGTTTGGCGTCACCCTCTAGGCCCTCAGCGCACAGTTTGCCCACCACGCCTTTCTCGGAGAAGACAGCGTAGCCGGCGGCATGGAAGCGCGGCAAATACGGAACCAAGGGCTCGGGTTTCAGTAGATCCGCGGCCAATGGAGCGATAGAAACTGTGTGTAGCATAAAGGTTAAGTTGCACAGCCAGTATTTTTTTGATCAGCTTATACTCACGGCAATCCTTCTCGTCAGCGCCATCCGGACAGTCGGCCTTGCCATCGCATCGCGCCTTGCGCGGCACACAGGCGCGCCCGCGTCCACAGTAGAGCGCATTGGCGGCGCAAAAGGCGCAGCTGCGTTCATCGGACAGATCCGGACAGTCGGCGTAGCCATCGCATAAGCGCGGACTCTGCACATTGCTCTGCATGTCGCCAACACAGTGGGGCTTCTGCTGGCACGACTGTGTGCCCGTCGACTCCGGGAAGCGTTCACAATCAAAATGCTGCCGGAAGCGTGCCGGCAACCTGCCACCACAGCCGGCCATGAACGCCTCACAATACTCGCGACAGATGGCGCCGGGCGTCGGCTCCTGGCTGATGCCGTGCGTCTCGCAGGGTGGCTGCAGTAGCCGGCAGACAAAGTCGTAGGCCTCACGGAAACACTCGCCGTCGACGAGCTCGCGGAATACAATGACATCCTCGACCACCTGCTCATAGGTCGCGTGACCCAGCATATTCGGATAGGTGGTCACATTATAGCCGACATTGCGACAATAGTTCAGCTGCAGTGGCTCGCATCGGCGCGGCAGTGGGCGTGGTGTTGTGGTGGTCGGCTCGGTGGTCTCATCATGGCCACCAAGCGGTGAGCTGGACATGATGGGCTCCTCGATCTGGCCGGTGGTTTCCTTAATGCTCACACTAGACACATCCACGGTCATGTTGGCAAAATGACGACTTTGTGCATCGCTTAGCTCTTCATGGAAAAGCGCCAGCAACTCCCCGCTGCTGACCAGACCCGCATACGGATCGAATATCATGTTGAAGTGCACGATAATGTTGTTGTTGTCCTCGCTGCTGTTGACGAGCATATGAATATGTTATAGCAGTTGTGTTATATACATATATAGGCTGGACTGGATCTATATTTTTCTTACCCATCTAGAGCCAGAATCTCGCTGCCCTCGTAGGCCTCACGTAAGTCCGAGCGACGTAACGTTAGATTGATGCGCTCCCGATAGTCACGTGCCTTGTGCTGGAAACGTAGCGAGTTCTGATTGGCTAGCTCCATGCTCCATTTATCGTTAAGCACCATGAACTTGCCACGGAACACGCGATCCGGCAGCGGCTCCGGCCGAAAGTATGTATCTGAAATTGGCATTGCGTTAAATGCGTCCGCTGAACTCTTGGCTTCAGCTACTCACAGCCTATATAAACAAAGGCGCCGGCCACCAGCAGGGCAATAAGAAAGCCGGCTATCACAGCGCATCCGCACTTCTGGCTATCACCCAGCTTGCGGCGGGTGAAGCGTATGTCCGAGTCGGTGGATAGCACTGACTCTGACTTGCGGCGCAGACCATGATGGGCATGGTTATGACTGTGGCTGTGCATGTGGTGCAGGTGGTGCTGTTGCTGTTGCTGTGCCTGGTGCTGATGGTGCCGCTCCCCATCTCGCTGATCAGCTCCAGGTACGGATGCCACAGTTGCTGCTACTGCAACGCCGCCGCCGCCATTGCTGTGGATGTGATGGGGCTTGTGGTGTCGCGTACAGCGTGTGTTGTGGAAAACCTTGGCTGGCTGAGATGCTGCTGTTGTTGGCAAGACGCCATTGCCATTGGGATTGCTTTGGACGAGGCCCTACAAAATAAAAAACATACACACACACACAAACACACACACACACAGTTCATAATTAGTGACATAGCCGAAACTGAGCTTTTTTACGGTCACGGTCCGCGTGGTCAATGACCACAAAGCGCCTTAAAATTAGACGCTTTGATTTTGCGCCAAATCATGGCGTTAAATCAACCATTGAAACGAACGCCCCATCACGCCAAGTGCCTTGGTAATGCACTTGAAATAGTTTATAATTTGATTTTTGTGTTGCTAACTCTTTTGTTATTGTTTTTGTTTTTTTTTTAGTTGCTGCTGTGCATGCAAATGCAACGCAATGTTTGCATGCAGCATGACGAGCGCAGCATGAAACCAAGGAAGCGGCGCTTTATGCGAATTAATTACGGAACCAATTTGATTGTTTACAATTTTGCTATTCATATTTTAGCAATAAACACGTAAAGCAGCAAGGAAAGTGACATGGCTAGACCATGTGGAAGGATCTGGCATCCCTATGCAGACGCCGCGACAGGATCGAAAGGCTGGCAGCATCTGCATACACGTTAAGTTGGCTGTGCCGCAATTGGTTCACAATGTTAAATAACGGACTAGTTGGAGATTCGTGCGGTCCGGTAATGTTGAAATTGCGAACGTGCCACGGCACAGAGAACTTATACTCATCGTATGCACATAAACACACTTTAGAAAATTAATTAAAGCGCAAGTAAAGCAAAATTAACACAGCAGCTGCCATGACGGGAGGATGGCCGCACCAGGCCGGGGCGGGCCGGGCCGGGCCGGACCACTGGCAGTAAACAGGTCGCGTCGCGGCCTACTTTTCTCTGCGTGATGCTGCCGCCACCGCTTGACGCGGCAAAGCGTCAACAAACAAATATACATGCATGTATGTTCATGCATATGTATGTTTGTGTGCACATATAACAATAATAAAATAAATGAGCAGCAAAAAGCACAAAAATGTAATTAAACATTGCGAGCAAAGCGACTGAGTGGTTTCCTCATTTCATAATCAACAACTGCGTTTATTGACCATGTCGCACATAAGCAGACGCACAGAGACTATGACAAGCAGTCAGTTTTGGGGTTAACCTATTCGCGGCATTTGCATTTTGTGTGTTGCAATTGCACAGCAGCAGCAGCAGCGCGCGCCGCTCTCTCTTTCGCTCTCGTTAATGCGTGTCAGCCAGAGAGGGGAGTCAGCCAAAAGTCACTCGGCCGCATAACGGAGCAGAGAGCGCGCACGTGCAAACAAATCATGTTACCTCACACTCTTTCACACATTTCCTTCTTTCATCTGCAGCTTTACGCTTTTCTTCTCCAATTATTGCACATCATTGCACACACTGGCTTACATACATCTGTTCAAGTGTGTGTGTGTGTGTGTGTGCATAACTAAGTATTTTATTACATTTCCGTTTAATTACCTTCCAATTGGTTTTGCCGCCATTTGTCTGCATCTCTTTGCTTTTGTCTTTGCTGCTGTTACGATTACTGCTGCAGTGGTTGTTGTTGTTGTTGTTCTTTTTGTCAACTGCCGCTGTTGTTGTTGTTCCTGATGCGTTTGTTACTGTTGTTGCCATTGGATTAACGCCGGCAGCATTTTTGTCCGCGTCGCGAGCTTTTTTGATCTGCAAAACCAAAAATGTTATAAATTTATGGTTAACAACGAAATTCTGCCAGTTTTTTTTGTTGTTTCTTTTACAGATATGGTAATGGAAGCAACATGCGCGGCCAACAGGTGCTAATTGTGGCGTGGACACAAAATTTAACACACCAAACGAACAACGGGTTCGTGGGGTAGTGAGTGTGGCGGAGGGGGGGGGGGGGGGGGGTGCATGACTCAAGCTCAAAAGTAACTGCTCCAGTTAAGTTTTGTGTTTGTTTGTGTTTCTTTTAGCAGTTGGCATGTCAAAAAGATTACAAAAACAACAAACAAGAAGAAGAAGAGGAAGCAGAAGAAAGAAAAAAAACCAGCGCCCGCAATTACGGCCCCATAAACGAAGCCAATGTCAAGCGATCAGCGCCCCAAGCGACGTCGACGTCGACGTCAGCAGCGACGTCAGCGCCAAAAGAAAGTTGCGGCTGCGTTTCCCTTGCTCATCTTTTTATTTAAATATGCTTGCACACACATGCAAACACACCCATACATATTTACATATTTTGGCGGCGCAGTTGCTGAACTTTTATTTTCGATTCGGCAACTTTTACTTTGCCTTGTTATGTTGCTATCAACATTTTGTATCAACAATGCTCGAGCGACACCAAAAACAGCCGCAACAGCAACAACAACAACAACAACAACAATGCACCATGAACAACAACCTATGCCACGTTTCGTTTTCGCTTTTCTTTCACAAGACTAATTAGGAAAATTCATTAAAATCCACACACATACACACACACACAGACACACCAGCATTGGATGCAGCCGCTTACAAACATGTTTGGACGCAACATGTTGCCGTTGCACCGTGGAGTCGTTGGCTCGCAGCTCATTGTTAGAAAATACATACATACATACATACATGTATATCGATATTTGAATATTTATGCCGTAAAATGTAACAAAAACCAAATTAGTTAGACAAGAGCATAAATATTAATGCTGAAACTAATTCAATTCGCCGTGGGAATTATCAATTGCCGCCCACTGTCGATGTGTGTGTGTGTGTGTGTGTGTTTTTCGCTGCCGTAACGTGTTTTGGGGGACAACAACAACAACAACAACAAAGACAATAACAAAACACTTTCATTTCGCTGGCGACTTTGGCGCATATTTTTTTCGCCTTGGCTTTGAATTTTTGACTGCAGTTGGCACAAAAAATTCGCTTTCGCTGCGCAACCCGCTGCAGCTACAACAACAACAACAACAATGACGACAACAAATATTGCAATGGCGAAATGGGCTTCTTCTTCTTCTTCAAATGACACTTGTCAATGGCAAACGAGTTCGTGGCCTAAGTCTTTTGAACTCTGTCGCTTTCACAGCGGCCCCCGTATGCCAGCTGCACCCCCCCCTCCCTAACAATTGCCTGACCTCCATGCCACAAACGAAAGTTTGCAATTGCATTTGGTAAGTGCAACGAGCACAAATTTCAAATATTGAATAAAGTGCCACAACGAAATTGTAGATGCCCTCACAAAATGATTTAAGAAATTTCTATTCCAAGAAGACAAGACAAGAAGGAGACAATAATATCATATATTATCTGAATAATCGGTGAAACAATATGTTGCTGTTCTTCCAGATATCTTGACCAAATTCGACAATTACAAGCTTTACAGACCTTTTAACCAAAGAGATGCATTCTTTTTTGTTTTATCATAATCATTTCGTGGAATATTTGTTAGGTTTTGACGCGGATAAACAAATAGGTTTTATAACATTAGGCGCCAGTACACATGTGTATGTGTGTACATTTAGTTCCCACGTGCCGAAAAGCTGGAAAACTATTTCATTTCTCTAAAAAAACTCTGAGAAATAATTCATTTTGTTTTGTTGTAGCTTTGATAACAATGCAAATAACTAGCGCATTTCTAAAATTCAGATACAGCTGTACACATACATGCACATGCACATGCAAATGTACATGCACATACACATACACATGCACATGCAAATGCACATGCACATGTACATGCACATGTACATGCACATGCACATGCACATGCAAATGCACATGCACATGTATAGACAAACATTAGGGCTGCAAGCCAAATACAACAAATTGTCGCTGGTTCGACTCACGGTTCGAACCAACTCTTTGCCTTAAGCTGCGGAACCTGAACCTTGCTTTATTCTAATTTTAATCAGACCAGAAAAACTACCGCAAAGGACTTTCAAGTTGAACCGAAACATTTTTTACATAACAAATATGATCCGGTTCGGGTATTTAGTTCATTTATATTCATAGTTAGTTTATAGTACGATATTGACTATTGACTATACAAAAACAACAACATATGCATATACTTAAATAAATCGAACTATTTATTAAGATAGTATATAAATAAATCTGAATACAGGCATACAAACGCGATTTTTCCCACTCAATTTGAGTTTTTCTGAGCGTTTGCGGAAATAGCTTTAGAGCAGCCGACTTCCTCTACGGAAAATTGCACAAAAATATTTGTAAGACTTGCAAGTGAAAAACCCAGCAAGTGAATTGAAGATTATATAAAACACACTCTGTAAAAGGCTTCAGCATAGGGACATTAACTAAGTAAAACGGGAAAGAGATTACGGGAATGACGAAAGTAACGACAGATCTGAATACCTTAGCTGAGACTTGGTAAAACGCGGAAGTCAACAAAATATTTAGCCAGATGTGAGTTTGGCAAATGCCATAATTTGTATAAGGCAACAATTCAATTTATAATCGGCTGCGGGTTACACAAGCTTGGCAAATGGTTAAATTAATTGGCACAAATGCAGCAGAAGGCGATATGAATAATGAGTTAGTCAAAGTTTCATATTCATATTAATAAATAAGTTATCAAGAAATGTTTTATTGTACATTTGTACATTTGTCTCGCATCAAAGCTGTGGACCTTCGAAGTTTGTGCGACAAATTCGCATACAATTAATAAACGTTTCGATAAATTGATTTATATGGATATTTCATGGATACGTTATGCATTTATCGACTTTCATTGACAATATGAACAATATCGATATATTTGTGTATTTATCGATTTATCGATTGATCGTTGCGTCCTGTTGACCGCATTCCAACGCGTGGAAATCACGGCATGCGCCCATCTCTAGTTGGAAGCACGTGGAAAGGGTATCGAACGGTAATCTTTAGATGCTGCAGCAGCCACGTGCGAACGCTCAGCGGCGGCGTGTGACAGCGACAGCTTTTCACTAATTTCCCTTTAAGCAAGCAGCTGCCGCAGCTGCCGCAGCTGCCACTCAGTCGTGACGAATTAATAACGGCCACAAAATGCAGCCAGCATTGGCGACCCCACGGCGAAAGCGCCAAGCGGCAGACGGCGGCGAATGTTGCAAGGGGCAACAGTTTTGTGGACTGCCACGCCTCCATGCGAGGTGCGTGACTGGGACCAGGGGTAGATGGCGCCTTTTCCAGGCAACAGCGACGTGACTGAGGCATCAACGAACTGACACTCGACTCTGATTTTTCCAAGCGCCAATAACTGGGTTGCATTTGGGTGTGTTAAAAACAGAAACTAGAGAGCTGACTCATGCGACTGGGCATGGCCAATTGACACCTACATACAGATGTGTGCACACATACATACATATCTAGCATACACGCACACATACATATGTATTTTACAAGCATTGCAAATCAAAATGCAACGCAACAAGCTGCTCATCTGGACGCAATTCCACAGCGATTTGGCCTCGTCTCTGGGCCTCATGGATTTTGTTTTGCATTCAAATGAAGTAGAAAGTTCTGCGCACAACAACAACGACAACAACAACAGCAGCAACAACAACAACAATCAAAATGAAAAGGTGAACACGTTCAATGCCAATTAATTGAAATGCCGCCGAGCGCTTTCTTGGCGCTTTTATCTCATTTATTCCCCTTGCCCCCTTGGCATGCTCTGACTGTGTTTCAGTTTTCATTTGTTCCCAAATGCTACCTGGAAGTGTGGGCGTGGCTGCGGGAGACTATATGTAACAAAACCGAAGAGCCTTAAGAAGATCGCATAAACAACTGATCTGTATGCAAATATTAACAAACCACGCACAAATATATTTACACACCATGCATATATATAGATATATATATATATAGAATTAACATATGCATAGGGGTCATTGAATTTGTATGTTACGGCCGGAATATTAAACAGATCGCATAACTCACATGAATATACATACATATGTACATAAATAAGTGCATAAATCATGAACAGGAGATCAATGTATGTACGTTAGAATCGCACAGCTTA